GAAAGAAGAGCTATTGGCAGGACTTACCTATACACTGTGGCTGATGAGACCATTTTCCATTGTGACATGTGCTGGTTGCCCACCAACCCTTCATTGCTAGCGTACGTCCTTCGTTGCAGGTGTAGCTCAGCTTGGTGCCCTGAGAGTAAGTCTCTTGCTTTGGGGCAAAGAAGCCACCATCCAGTGTGGGAGCATCACAGGCCTGTGTGGTGCTCTGTGCTGAAACACAACACTGAAGTAAGAGCAAAACATTATCAACCAGCGTAAATGTTTGTCTGTGAAGTTACTTGTTGTTTTCACCGTGCAGCACTCCAGGAAACCAAAGAAGAGCAAATGCAAAATATTTGAAGCACATTTTTAAATCGTCCCAACAACAAAGCAGCACCAGCAGTTAAAGGTAATCCACATGAGAATCAGCTACTTATCACAACTGTCACCCGAAAGTTGTGCAATCACCTTGGCCCTTCCAATTTTGTGGGATGGAAAAAAGTTTGTACACATTCAAAACAACTTTTGAGAAAGCACAGGGAAAAAACCTAACTGTTTTTCCATAAACTTTTATTCAAATATGTTTTTTATTGAGGTTCTTTTTAAACATGAAGAAAAGAAATAAGAAAAATCCTCAGCAACTCAGAAAATGAACCATTAAACACTAAATAAATAAACAAATAAATAACAAGTTTTAAAATTCATAAGTAAATGTTAGAGCTCTGATCTAAAACTCATAAACTTCTTTCTTTTACAGATAATTTATTGAGACTGGGGTTTTCCACAGCTTCTTTTCTCAGTGCTTTTGTTACATATCGTTACATCTATTGATTTCATGCACACACCAACATCTTCCTGATGTCTACAAAACTTCTCATCACCCAGAAAATGAAGAGAAAATTGTTGGTTTTACTTCGCCGATCAGTTTGGTTTAAACATAGTGATTTCAAATGACATTATTCATGACATTTATTATTTCAGTGCGTATTGAATGAATAGAGCAACACATATTTTTGCATTGATTTTATTCATCACACAGTGGATGTTGTGTTTGAGACATTTTCTCTGAAGCGACTCGAAATATTTACTTTGAAACATCAAATCAATGAAACTATTTACAGTCCAAATTTCAAAGTCATTTTAGATGGCCTACCACTCTGTGGCCGAGTTGCTGTCGTTCCCAATCACTTCCACTTTGTTATAATACCAATAACAGCTAAATGTAGAATATTTAGCAGCAAAGAAATCTCACAACTGGACGTGTTGGACGGGTGATGCATCCTATCCTATCACTGAGCTCCTGAGAGCGACTCATTCTTTCACAAATGTTTGTAGACGTCTGCATGCCTGAGTGCTGGATTTTATACACCTGTGGCCGAGTTTATTTTAGAATAAGTTCAAGTAGGGACTCGGTCACTGTGATGCCTTTAACAGGCCACAGTTTAACAGCCATGACTTTAAAACTTTAATGTCACATCAAATTAGTGGCTGTACCACACATTTAGTACATGCAAAAGTGAGCTGTGAAACATTTCTCCATTGTAGTCACTGTGAGCTTATTCATTAGGATCCAAATGCAGGACTCAGAGGCTGCCATGATATGATATGATAAAGAATGAAGATGCCATGTTATGAGTACATTAAGTGGAGAAAGGAGGTGCTGGGCCCGATCCAAGGGTGAGAGAAGGATACACCCTGGACAGGTTGTCAGTCTGTCTGCAGTTGTGGCGTATTAATTCAGTTCAGTTTAATTCAGTATACTTACACTTGTATACATTTTTACACTTACACCTACATTATCATGTGTAAGTTCAGTAAGGACGATCTGTAAGTGTTCATCTGTCTGCTTTCTTCGCTGTTTGGCTGCTAGTCTGTTCATCACATCACTTCCACTTTTTCACAGTGTCCTAGTCAGTGCTGACATCATTGCTCCAGTCCAGTCATCTAATCTGATCTAATTGCTTTTACTTTTTCACACAAGGGCAGGTGGGTTTGAATAGCTTTTAGCATTTTTAAACTGGATTTTGTATTTACTCAGGATATCTTTGTTGAATATTACAATATGAAAATAATTTTTTTAAAGCACTGCATGTTTTAAGAATACTGTATTTCAGGGTTTACACATAAAAAT